TTTTGTGTCATGATTGAACGACAATTTAATAAGAAGGTTAAGGTGGTAAGAAGTGATAATGGAACATAGTTTAAATCCTTGAAGTCATATTTTGACGAGCAAGGAATTTTATTTCAAACTTCCTGCGTTGGGACACCACAACAAAATGGTCGTGTGAAGAGAAAGCATCGTCATATTTTGAATGTAGCTAGAGCACTCAGGTTTCAAGCACATATTCCGATCAATTTCTGGGGTGAGTGTGTTTTGATTGCAGGATAATAGATTAACCGGACAGCTTGGATCCTTCTTGGTGGTAAAACACCTTACGAGATGCTATTTGGACAAAGTCCTTCTTACAAACAGCTCCGAGTTTTTGGTTGCTTATGTTTCTCGCATACTAGGGACCGTGACAAGTTTGCCTCTAGGAGTAGGAAATGTGTCTTTGTTGGGTACCCTTTTGGGAAAAAGGGGTGGAAATTGTATAACCTTGAGTCTGGTGATTACTTTGCCTCACGAGACGTGGTGTTTAGTGAGGCCAAGTTTCCCTTTGCCACTCCGGAACATCAACCCTCTGTAACCAGTCCTCCCGTAGCCAAAGAAATAATTGGGTTGCCTTGGGCCACTCCTCTTGACATGGTATCTGAGTCACCTCATATAGAAGTCAGGGGGAGCGACATGATTGATGAAGGACATCCGAACACGGGTAATGATGAGGAGGCAGGTCCCCTTTATGAGACAAGGAGCCATACAGATTACAAAAATAATGAAACTCCAGCTGCTCCTCAGCCCACCACGGAGGTATTTGGCCGCAGACATCGAGAAAAGCGGACCCCCAGCTATTTACAGGACTTTGTCACACACTCAGCTCGTCGCTTAGACTCCTCCGCTGTTTCTCTTGCATCATCTCAGTGCTCAGGTACTCCTTATCCCATAACTCATTATATGACGTATGATAATTTTTCTGTGAAACACAGACATTTCTTGGCAGCTGTTACTACAGACCGAGAACCTACTCATTTCTCTGAGGCAATGACTGATGCTCTGTGGCGCGAGACTATGTGCCAAGAGATACAGGCTTTGGAAGACAATGAGACGTGGACCTTGGAAGACCTCCCACCTGGAAAAACGGCAATCGGGTGTAAATGGGTCTACAAAATCAAGTACAACTCTGATGGATCCATTGAAAGATTTAAAGCACGGTTGGTAGTCCTGGGCAACACTCAAGTTGAAGGTCTTGATTACAACGAGACCTTTGCCCCTGTGGCTAAAATGGTCACAATTCAAACCTTCTTAGCAGTTGTTGCGGCCCAACATTGGGAATTGCATCAGATGTATGTGCACAATACTTTTCTGCATGGTGATCTCCATGAGGAGGTCTATATGAAACCTCCTCCAGGTTTTTCGGCCTCTGGAACTGGAAAGGTATGCAAACTCTGGAAATCGTTGTATGGTCTACGGCAAGCCCCCCGGAACAGGTTCTCTAAATTAGGTACTGCCTTGAAAACTTTTGGGTTTGAACAGTCCTATTTCGATTATTCCTTATTTACATATCGCAAGAATGGGGTTGTCTTGCACGTCCTGGTTTATGTTGATGACTTAATCGTTGGTGGGAATAACCCAAAGTTCATACGCAAATTTAAACAGTATATGAACCGGTGTTTTCGCATGAAGGACTTGGGTGATCTTAAATGTTTTTTGGGCATCGAAGTGACTCGCGGATCATCGGGGATATTTCGTTGCCAAAGAAAATATCCACTTGATATTATTACAGAATCTGGCTTATTGGGATCCAAACCTGCTCACCTTCCTATTACTCAGAATCATAAACTTGCCCTTGCTGACAGAGCACTCCTGGATGACCCTGAACGATATCGACGTCTTGTGGGCCGTTTGATTTATTTAACCATTACACGGCCAGAGCTCAGTTATTGCATTCATGTCCTGGCTCAATTTATGCAGTGTCATCGTGTTGATCATTGGGATGCGGCATTTATGTGTGGTTTGTTATCTAAAAGGACGTCCTGGTCAAGGAATATTTTTGCACTCTAATAGTGATATGCAATTGTATGCCTATTGTGATTCTGACTAGGCGAGTTGTCCTCTAACTCGTCGCTCTCTTACTGGGTATTTTGTCATGTTTGGACATTCCCCTATCTCCTGGAAGACTAAGAAACAATATATTGTCTCCCGTTCCTCTACCGAGGCTGAATACGGTCAGTGGCTACTGCCAGTTGTGAGTTGAAGTGGCCAAAAGGTCGGCTGTCGTCTTTGGGTATATCTCATCCTCAACCTATACGCTTGTTTTGTGACAATCAAGCTGCTCTACACATTTTCGCAAACCCTATCTTCCATGAGCGAACCAAACATATTGAAGTTGATTGTCATTTCATTCGCAATGAGCTGCAAGCCGGCACCATTGCGCCTTCCTATGTCCGTACCGGTGAACAAGTTGATGACATTTTCACAAAGGCTCTCGGACAAAAATAGTTTGA